GTCCTGGCTGTCCTGGCTGTCCTGGCTGTCCAGGCTCCATCCATGGCTACCTCTTCAATTGTTTCAATTTCCCTGCTGCTTTTCCATAGGAAAACTCGGAGACGAAGGCGAGCAGCGGCCAGCGTGCACATTTGGCTTAGATTGGAAGGACAAATTCCAGCCTGGCCGCTTTCCTTCTTCTTACGCGCATCCTGGCCAAAGACCAGTGTCACACACACACTCACTTGCACTCACACCGCCAGGTAAATGTGCTGCTGACAAAGGAGGACCAGGACCGGGACCAGCACCAAAAGGGGTGGAGGCGCATTAAAACAAAGGAGCTGCTGCGAGCTCGAATATGCAAATCATAGGAACATAGAAGCACCAGCAGCAGCCGTAGCAGTCGTAGCAGCCATGGCGCAAAATGGAAGGGCAAGCAGGACGAAAGGACGAACTGGGTCCCAACAACTTGCGAGAGCTGCGGTTTTGTCTGCTCAAATCGCCTTAGCTTAGACAAAACTGCAGATAATGGCTAAGGAGGCAGCCTGCTGGCTGGTTTTAGGTAGGAGCGGCCAAAGAACTGCGAATGCAACTACAGTTACAACTACAACTAAGGGTATCCTGCAGGACCGCCCAGGTCAGCACGATTGCGGACAGCGGATTAGGCTGTCTCCGAGCAATGATGCGCCTTCCCAAAAATATATCTGGAATTCGTGAAACAGGTGGATTGAGAAGAAGAGCAGCAATAAAATAGTTGTGCATACAACACATAGTTTTGCAACATCGTTTAAGTTTTAGTTCCATAAGCATTGCTTAAATTACCCCTAGCATGACTTGTATTTTAAATATCTCCAAGACAGATTTGTAGGCAATCAAAATCAAGATATTTATAAGAAATACATTGAACCAGATATAGGTTTTGAAAATATGTTTCAGTGGCTTATAAATATTCTTGAAAAATCTGATCAAAGATTTTAAGACATTCGAAATCCAAGTATTTTGAGCAGCACTTTTTTTTTAAGAAGATGTTTAGTTTTAATAGTATCTAATTCGAATATTTATTCAGTATCTCTTAAAATTATTCAATTTAACTTTAGCTTAAACGAATATAATAGTTCTGAAAATTAAATAGTATTTTATTTAAGTATATATTAAGTGTAATTTTATTTTTAGTTAGTTAAACACCTTATTTCGATAGAAAAAAAAGGTTTGGCAATTTTTGAACGATTCTGACAAACTGGCAATACGTTTTACAAAAGAAGGGTCAGGTGGTACTTTATACATCCTTACTGGCTTAAACCCATAAATGTGGTTGTTGTTATTCGGCCCAATTTTCCCAATAAAACAATTAAGATACTTAATAGCAAAAGGATTATTTTGTATAAGCAGGTGAAATATATTTTGTTAATCTTTGAGGGCCATCAATGTCTGTTTCGATTCAAACCGATATCAAATAGAAAACAAGAATCGAACTGATAGTGATCGCAATCAAACCAAATGATCGATGAGTTGATTGATATGCGCAGGGACAAATCAAGTATGAGTCAAGTAAATATTCTCAGGATGTGTTTAGAGTAGATCCCAGTGTACGTTTAGCCCGAGGAAAACGCACACAAACATACAACAAGAACACCACATAGAAAACTCGTGTACACACATTTATCTTTTCTGAAGGCAAAACTGAAAATTTAGTTTTAGGAACAGTTATACAAAGACAATGTGCGGAGGATGCAGATTCGCAGGGAGAATGGGCGTTCGATGTGTGCTGAAAATCAAGCGCACACGTCTTCTAGCATATGTACTCACACCCATACCCACCCAACACACACACAAATACGCATTAACAAGGACCTATGCGTGTACATATAGCATAGCCAACAATCGGGGGTGACCAGCGTCCAAAACCCAGTGCGCCTTCATCTTTCAATTCACGCGAAAATTTCCTTCGCCATCCAGAGGTGTGACATGAGGGGTTAAGAGGGCGGGGTGGGAATGAGAAAGGGGAGGGGGCGGGGGAGGTGAAAGGACATCGCTGGACGACGGTGACAACGACGCGGTCTGGTCAGAGTCGGGGAGAAAGTGAATTGAGTTTAGTCGAGGACGACGAATTCGTAATTGTACACACACACGCAGCGACATTAAGGCATCTCGCACACACTCGCACATCCAGAGAAGAGGGTTTTGACCATCTGAGGGGGTGGCAAGCGGGTGGGTGGCTAGATGGTTAGATGGTGGAATGACGAGGAACGAGGAACGAAGGCGGCTGGCAAGGAGCTGCAGATATGAGAGAAAGTCCGGCGACCAAAGAGAGGACGAACGAAAATGGAAAATGTGTTGCCTTGGTGGACTGGACACAATGGACAATAGACGGGTTGGGTTGGGTTCCGCAAAATCAGGGGGGTTGGGTTGATGGGTTTTAGGTTGGCCGATGAAAATCTGAAGTATATATACCCAAAAACACACATTCACACACAGACATCAGCACGCACATTGGCATAAAGCAACAACTCTAAATTTTCGCAGCAGCAAAATTTACGCTAAAGATGCTGATGTCCTGCGGATGCTAAGAAGAATGTGCGTCTGTGTGGGTAGCGTGTTGCCAAACTGGCACTGTATGTGTGTATGTGTATGGTGTGTATGGTGTGTACAGTGTGTACAGTGTGTGTTTGTGACGAAATGAAGCGACCCGGGCAGGCTGCTTGGCTTTTTAGTGGCAAGGATATGTTTCTTGCCAATACGGCCCCATGCCGGCCATCTGTACTCGTGGTCGTAGTCCGTATTCCGTTGTCCGTATTCCTCTGTCCGTTGTCCGTCCGTCCGTAGTCCTGCGTTATTGTTGCTCCTTGTTGTGTATACGCCTCTACTTATATGTATTTTCTGGGCCTCTACTGGTGTGCGTTTGTGTGCGTTTCGGACGTGGATTCAAAAACCTTTCTTAGCGATTTCCCGAAAGGATGCTCTGGCGACACTGCTGCTGTCTTTTTCATAGCCATCGTCGTTGTTGTTGTTGTTGTTGTTCTTGTAGTTGTTGTTATTATGGTCAGTGGCCGCCTCCGTTGGCCAGGATACAATAGGGATGTATGTGTGCTCTGCGCAAATGTTTTGCATAGCAACTACAAAGTCTACGACCTCCAAGGCCTATGCGTGTACACACATTATATATAGGATCGCAATCTAAGGGGTATCCCACAATGGTGCAAAAGTACTTGTGAGGATTCTTAGCGCTGAAAGTTCAATAACTATCAAAGTTCAATTACAAATTGGCTTTAAATGGATCATTTTGCATTTAATAAAGCATTACACTTTAAAACTTTGAAGGATTCTTATATCCTCACTAGCCTAAGCTGTCAATTTCGGATTTTAAATATTTACTTTGATTTTTAACTCACATATGCGTAGAAATAATTTTGAAACCAATTAACTTTTTAGCAATAATATTTATATTTGCTTAAACCTTTAACTTAATCTATAATTTATTAACAAAGCAAGTTTAATTTTTATATGTATATGTATGTAATTTTTTTTAAGCCTAGACTGATTTTCAAAGTTTTCTCGATTATGACTAAAAGAAAAATATAAAATTAAATAGATTTTTGTAAACATTATAATTTATCTCCTTGTGTTTTGCTTCAAACAGTAAAATTAAATATAATCTTAAAATAATTAAAATTTGACAACAATAAGTAAGTGCTTTATAAATTACATACAAAGTTGTGGTTAAATGCCTCCGTTTTAAGACTAAATAAGTTTATTAAGCAATTGCTTTTTAATGGCTATTGATATTTTTATACTATTGCTGCAATGACGATTGGCGTTTAATTGTTTTGCCAACTGTCGTTTGTAAGCCACAGCAATTTGCCAGAAGAAGTCGATTAAAATCAACCACTATATCTATATCTCTGGTTTCTGCTGTTCCGATCGAGAGCCCGTTCGAGAATTCCGGTTTCTTCGGCGATCGCCGGTCACGCTCCAGCGAAATAAGCAAGAAAAAGAGAGAATTTTCGCCTTGTTTTCAAAATGGGGATTCGCAAAGGGGGTTTCCCAAGGGGCTACCACCTCCTCCTTCTACCGCTCAAGTTTCATTCGGGCGGCAAAAAGCCGAACTCGAAAGCTGCCCAGCTGTCCACTCTCTCTCTCTCGCCCTCTCTCTCTCTTAAGGAAACGGCTCTTTGGCTCTCAGGACTCATTTGACTCAGCTAACTCTCTAAAGCGGGCGCGAATGAGAGGCGCGTCCACATAATCTGTGATGAAGGCATGTATCAAAACAAAGCGAGGAAAACTGGCCACAATAAAAACAGCAACAACTGCAGCACATGACAGCGGGAAAACTAACAGAATTATCAGCGGCGATAAATTGGAACCCCTACTGCGAAAATTAGACAAGGATTTCGGCTAGGTTTTCACGTTCTCCGAGAAGATCCTTATTTTGGGCAGTTCTCCGTCATTTAAGGAAGGAGAATATAGTTTGGCTAAACGCTAGCGAATGCCTCCTGAGGTTACAGAAAGTCTTACACTGAAACAAATAGGAATGCTAAGATGTTGCAAATGTATGTCAATTGAAATAAAATTGGACATAAAGTTTCGAAATTTTATATAATCTTAATACAATGATAATCTAATCAATTTTATAAGAAAAATTTCATTGCAACCTTTTATATCGATTCAAATTAGTTACACAAATTAGTTAAGAATATAAAAAAAGCTATTGGGCTTTCGCTAGAAAGTGCCTTACATTTTGATACGTATACTTGATTTAAATTTTTGAAATTAATGTCATAAATTTAAATGAATTAATGTTTATTTATGGAAATTTGTATTTTGCAAGTGCCATTATTTTCTCAGTGCACACACACACGTGGGCGCGCAAAAGGAGGCCGAAAAGGATGTGCGTCTCTCAATCTGGAAAAGCCTAGCACGAGTATTGCGTCGTCTTCGTTGCACACAGCTATTTCTGTGTGTGTGTGCGGGTGTCCTGGTGCTTGTATCCCAGTGTGCGTGTATGAGTGGACAGCGGCCTGTGGTTGGGCCGGCCAATATGCCAAAATGCGAAATTCCGAAAAGGCCGAAAAGCAATGCGAACGGGGAAGCCAAAGCGAGAGGACTTCTTCGCCGCCGTCTTGGCCGTTATTAATCATTGTACATTTGGCTGTCCTGTCAACGAAAAAGGCCGCGAATTTCGCTAGAGCTGGAGCGAAAGAGAGAGCACGCTGGAGAAAGAGAGAAGGACAGAAAGAGAGAGAGAGAGAGAGAGAGAAAGAGCGACTACTCACGCACACCTACGGCCACGTAAAAGAAACAAAAACGACAACTACAACTACAACACCAGCAGGACAGACTGACCAGCACACAACCACCACCACCAACGTTTTTACGTATGTGTGAGTGAGAACGATATGCCGCATTTCGTGGACGTGCGACTTTAAATTTCCCGTGACGTCGCCGCCGCCGCCGCCGTTGCCGTCGTCGCCGTGCGGAAATTCGCCGCGCTAAAATCAAAATTCACTCAAGTCCGCCGCGGTAGTTTGTCGCCGCACGCTAGCCCAGCCGCTCAGGTTCGCACAGCCACGTCACAGTCGCAGCGCCGCAAAGCGTCACAATATCACAATATCCTTCGACGAGCGCGAGAGAGGTCGCCGCACCGCATGTCCATGTCCTTTCGCTGAAATTCGCACGCCAAATAATCGCATAAAGTGTTCGCTTGTGTTTCCCGTTTATCCTCGAAACAAAAAAAAAAACGAATCCAAACAATAACAATAACTGCTATCCATGTGAGCTACATATATCGTGAATTTAATATCGCTGGTCGAAAAATAAACAAGAGTAAATAGCTGTGCTATCCGGACTCATTAGGCCAACACCGGAAAATCTCCCGCCTTCGCTGGAAGAAGGCCCAGATCACATTTCGCCCCGGAAGTTAATTTAAAAGGTTAGTTTTGGCCTTTAATTAGTAATATGCTAAAAATTTAAAAGTGTTTTAAGGCTTTTATACTTCAAATGTTTTGTTTAAACTTAGTTTTCATGTTTTAGTCCGGTGAATCAAAAGTATTTCTTTATTTGTTGACAACATTAAACATGATTATTTTATTTTTTAAAGAGTTTCAATTGGGATGCCCAATTTAAAATGCTTTTGTTTATATGACCAATTTCTCTCAAAACTTTTTAATTAATTATACACCGAGAAAAATTAAAGTTCAACAATAATTCTGAATTTCTACTAAAGTGGTTTTAATAACGGAAAAACAACACTAAAATGATACTTAACGATCAACAAATACAAAACAACAAAGACAGAAGGGAATATAAAATGGAAAAGTGTAAATTGTTTTAAAATTAGTCCCACGACCATATGGGTATCCAATGCAATGCAAATTGGGAAAGCATTTAATTCGTAAAGTTATTATTATATTTTAAAGTGGTTTTAAAAAAATTGTCATTTCTTGGTAGGCAATGAAACCACATTTAAAATATTTAATATATATTTTTAAACGTGTATATTTGTAAAAGAACTTGAGTTAAATTTTTGACCATTCGGAACCTTACCAAAAAAACTACTACTTTTCGCATTCAGTAATTCTTACATTTGAAAAAGAAAACTATTCCAGCTTAAATGTTTTAGACATTTTGTTCTTTAAATAACGTGTAAGTATACACTATTCCAAAATTTAACGTATTTAACTATATACCGGTGTTGAAGACCAATGAAACAAGCAATACAAGCAATATATACAATACATTGTTACACTAATTATTACATTCACTTTCCGTGCTTTAGAAGTAGTTTACGATTATTTTTGTTCTTACAACTAAATTTACAAAAGCCTCTACCAACAGTCGTTTCCCTTAAATAAGTAATGGGATACTATGTAGTGTCATTAACATAGCGTACCATGTTGCTTATCGCCGGGAACTATGCAACAATTTTTAAATAGTTTAATATTGTGAAATCAATTTTATTATGCACCAAATTACGAACGTGGTTTTTTGACTTTTTATGGCAGAATTCTATGCTCCACAGTCATATAATTGTAGCCTGTCCTTCATATTTAATTTAAAGTTTGTTTTTAAAGTTTTGTTTAGTAAGTATATCCTTTAGTGACAACCTTAGTCATTTTCTTTGCTTCGGTTATCGTTCTCAACGTTAAATTTATATATATATATCAGATAGAAAAAAAGAACAAATAAATATAAATCTTCTTACTGATTAAACTCATAAGCTCAAACATAACAAATATTGTAATGTATAAAAAGGGTACTCAAAACATTTTAATTTTACCTAAAAAATAAAAAATGAACGAAATGTTCGTTATTTTAAATATGTCTACTTATGCGATTCAAAATGTATTTATTTTAACTTATATTCTTCAAGCGAAAGCCGTTTAATGATTATATCATTATATAAAACGAAGAAGAAAACTATAAAATCATTAATACGTTTATAAAAGAAACAAATAGCATACATAAAACTATTCAACGAGTTCGTTCTCTTGGAAATAAAAAAAACATATATTTTAATTGTTGGTAACGAAAGCCATTATGTTAAGCACAATCATTAGTTATCAAACCTTCTCAGGTTTTTAGCGATTCCCGAAATAACTGCCTTAAGCTCAATAGTCAGACTCCAAATGCGAATCGCAAAACGCTGGTACTCTGTCCTCAGCCATAATCCAGAACAACATTAATCGAGCTAATCATAAACAAACACACAATAAAAAGGTGCAATAGTGCTTAAAGCCACATATATCATTGGTTCCAACAGGTCCGAAATTACAACAGACCCATGGTGTATTAGCACACACGACACAACTGCGGTGTGTGAGAAAACTCCCAGACTGGCACACACAAGCATACTACACACAAACATACAATTGGGTTCAGACCGAGGCAACTTTTTCTTTTATTTACGGAATTCTTATTTTTTATTTGTTGCCTCTTTTTGTGTTTTATTTCTTTTTGCATTAGCACAAACGAATGGAGCTATCAAACGCTTGCACATATTAGTACTAGTTTCAGTCGTTGACCTCCATTTGCCAGACTTTCCTCTTTTTCCTGACCCCCCACCCCTTGCCCCACCTCGTCCTTGGTGTCCTTGCCACATGCATTGCCCCTGTTTGTCTGTGACTGAGTTCAATACGAAGCCAAAGAAACGAAAAAAATAGTAAATACAATAAAATTATAATTGTATATAGGAAAATCAGAAGCTCTTAGCCCACACACACAGAGCCACACACACAAGCATTCTCAAAGAGTCGAATGGCCAGACGGTTGGCCATTACAGACATACATATGTCCTTTCGTGTGTTTGTGAATGTGTGCACAGCAGCAACACCAGACAGAAAACCCCCCAACCCCCCCCACACACACACCATACACCATACACCACACACTGACAAACTTGGTGTAATTCTTTTATATTTATTTCTTTCATCTTTTTCTGTTGTTACTAGATTTTTTACACACTTCTCACTGTCCCAGTTCGGTTCGTGAAAAGTTTAATGGCGAGCCGGCTAGGACAAGGACGGAATACTATGCTGGACTGGACAGAGCTGAACTGAACTGGACCCTGTGCAGAAAGCGAAAGTAAAAATTCTTTTCCTTCTGCCCCATCCAATTCACATCCTACTGCTCCTCCTCCTGAATGGTCGAAGACCTTGTAATTTTTATACAGCTGTAAAAGTTTTATTCGATATGTGTTTGGGTGCAGGTCGGCAGGTTGGTGGCTCAGGGGGTGGTGTGTTTAGGTGTTTAGGTGCTGAAATCACATGCACCACCGTCGACACAGTTATTTGCTGCTTCATTGGTTATGAGCATCCCAGTGTGTCTGTGTCTGTGTTTGGTGTGGTGTTGGGGTCACCGCATGGATAAATACGCATTAAGCATTAAACTAGGTGTCAAGAGCGTTAATACTAGTAGGCAAGGTACATAAATGGAGGTAAGCCTTTGAGTATCTATAAATAAAGCCGTTTGTTGTTACATTGTTACTTAACTAATTGACTTTAACTTATGCTTTCATAATACAGTTTTAATTAACACTTCGATTAACTAAGAATTTCTGAAAACTATTTTTTTGTCAATTTATTTAAAACTCTAATTGCTCTTTCTATAAAATTTTGATTAGAATATACTTTATGCTAACAATATACTTTATAAGAAATAAAACAAAATTTAAAATTTAATTATAGAAAGCTATTTTAGTTTTATTTTTACTTTGAAAAACAATTTTTCACAATTATTGATGTTTGTTTCAAAACCAAAATACAGTTTTAAGATAATCGTTATGTATTTGAACCCAAGACAAATGTTTTTAAGCAGTTTAAAAAATGTATGGTTTGCAGTGAATTAACTTATCCATACAAAAAATGGATAACTTTGATAATCAGATATCCGATTACATTTTTTTAAACAGATACAATATTTGGCATAGCGATTTATTGACTTATTTATCGGTTTACTATCCTAGAGCATTGCAGTTCGTGTTGTCCAACAACTGCTTATCCGAAATCCTGTGCTCAAGGTATATTAAGGCAACCAACTCAGTTATCTGGACTTAGCAAAGATTCAGGGAGCTCCAATTAATAGCTGGCAACGTGTAAACTCCATTTCAAGTGGCTGCGATGCACGTTTTGTAAACAGCATTGCGATGGATAGATGGATGGATGGATGCACGTAACGAAACGAAAGACTCCACCAGTTTGTCTGTCTGCGCTCTTAGTTCCCCAACACACTCTCTTAAGTTGCTCTTCTTGTCGGGCAAAAAACACACACCGACTTGAGTTCCTTGTATATTTGAATGCCACAAATACATATATATATATACGTATATTTGTATATATGTATGAACAGGGAAAGAAATCATGTGTCAGTCATGCGCAAAACGTGTTTTTCATTTTAAAATTGCACCATGGGGCGAGCTCTTTTGCATGCCTCACATTCTGGAGAGATGGAGGCGGAGCATATTGTTGCTCGCTCAGGTTCTTGGCCCGCACTTTTAAGCCAGGTCGAGAAAAAGACTTGAGAAAAGACGCTGCCACTGCTGCTGCTCCTGCTGCACCTGCTGTTGCTTCACTTTTTGGGATATAAAAAGGAAGGCTGGGAAGGCGCAACAGGCGTGCTTGTTGGCATTGGCATGACTGTGGATGTGGATATGGATCCCCTAGTTTCCATACCAAAGTTGGGGGATGTTCTCTGCGCTGCAGTGCCAAGTGGCCCGAAACAGGTAAACAAGTTATAAATTTGCGGACGACGGACGACGACTCGGCAAAGTTCGGCCGACGAATGGCTTGTTCTTGTTGCTTATTCGTAGCGTGGCCTCGCGTTGCGCGCGTTTTGCTGCATTTTGGAGCAGGCGCGTCGCGGCGCGAAGGCAACGCACCAATTAGCATATTCCATTGTCTCCCCAGTATACACACACACACACACACACACATATAGAGCACACAGAGTGTCCTTTTGCAAATTTGGCATCCTTCGTGCGCCGAACGCAAAAAGAGGCAAGGGGCGTGACGCAGCTCATTTGCCTGCAGAGCGTACGAGAGCGAGAAATTTTGTCATCCTACCTATACCTATACCTATGTGTACAACATATATATATATATATATATATATATATATATAGAACACCTACACGTATACGCAATATAGCGCATACGCCCGGTTGAGCGGCGTATTTACACCGCGACTTGTCTGTAAAACTTTAAAGCGCGCGGCGATTTTATTGGAGCCCCGTGCGAACACCCAACCCCCCTTTTTAAGCAACACACCCCAACCCCATTTGCAAAGTACATGGACGCGCATTCGCCATTCGGTCTGGTAAATATATATAGTTATGTGCTACACCACTGGCGAATGGGAACGCATCGGTACGCCGTGCGATATGCGATATGCGATATGCGATATGCCAAGTGTGTCACGGTAATTAATTAAGAACTCTGTCTGCTCTTTTCTTCTCGTTTCTCTGCAGGCGCCAAGCTGTTCGACAACGGCCTCAAGTTGGATATTTCCAGCTACCCCCACATGAACATCCGCATGGGCACCAAGGGCAAACGGCCTTTGCGCAGCCTGACGCCACGTGACAAGATCCATGCCATCCAGAGGATCCACGATGGCGAGTCCAAGGCCTCGGTGGCCCGGGACATCGGAGTGCCGGAGTCCACTTTGCGTGGATGGTGCAAAAACGAGGACAAACTGCGCTTTATGTCCAGGCAGTCCACCACGGACAACCTGTGCGCCGACGCCTTGGCCGATAAATTGGATGTCTCCGGGGGAGGAGTTGGAGGAGGAGGAGGAGGAGGAGGAGGATTGCTGGGTCCCCCGGAGAAACGGCAGCGATTGGATGCCGCCCTGCCCCTGAACTTCTCCAACAAACTTAAGTTCGACGAGCTGGCCTTCAAGCGATCACCCCTCAATGGTCTGGACTACAGTACAAACAAGAATCTGGCCGAGTTGGGCTACAATGGCCTGCCCGTGGACTATGCGGCCTTCAATGGTGGCGTAGTGGGGGCGAAGGGCAAGGTCTTTGGGGCCGACATCAACAGACCAGCCACAGCAGATCCCTCCCTGAATGCCATCAGTCCGCTCTCCAGTCTAACGCATCTGTCGGGTCTCACGGGCATCTCACAGTCCCCGCTGGCTATCAGTTTCAACGAGCTGACCACCAACCTCAACCTGCTGGCCCAGCTCAATCCGGGTCTGGCGGCCATGTCGGGTTTGAGTAGCTTTCCGGGTGCCGCTGGTGCTGGTGGCTTGAGGAACCCCAAGCCAAGTGGACAAAGTCCCAGGAGTGATAGTGGAGATCGCACTCAATCGGGTTTGTCGGTGAAGAACTGGGCCAAACAGAAGCCAGGGGAAGCAGCCCAGGGCAGCCTTAATCTGAGCATCAAGAACGAGGTCAAGGGGGGCGATATCAAGAGTCCAAGTCCCTCGATTGCGCCCTCTCAGTTGGGCGGACCCATGACGCTCTCCAATCTGGCCGAGGATCCCTTACTCTACTGGCTGAAATCGCAGCAGACCATGTTGGGTCTGAATCCCCTCTATCCGCCCAGCATACCAATGGGCGTGACCAGTCCTCCGATACGCTCCTCCACGCCGCAGCATCACATGAACCAGCTTGCCCAGACGCCGCCCATACCATCGGCCCCACTCACGCCCTCGTCCACGCCCTCGGGAAGTCTGGACGAGAAGAATGCGGCGTGGTACAACTGGTGCAAGGCCTTCGGGGCCAGTCTGCACACCCTCAATCCCAATGCAGCCACTCTGGCCGCCCTGCAAGCCAATTCCATGCAACAGCAGGTGGCCAACTCCACAGCTGAGGGAGATCCCTCGAATATTCTGTATTCCCATCTCACCAAGGAGACTGAGACGCCTTCGGTGAGAAGTCTATCCTCCAATGAGCAGAATGCCGAAGCGGATGAGGAACTGGGCGACTCTGGCGACCCAGATGCCCGAGAAGCGGAGGTCGAGGGCTCCGGCAAGCCAGAGGATCTGTCTTCCGCCGGCAAGGTGATGACACCCTCGCAAAGTCCCCTGGCAAATTCAGAATCAATGCCAGCCAGCAGCAGTAGTCCCAAAAACACCGAGAAGATCCTAGACAATATGCTGTTCAAGATGGGTGGCAGCGAATCGGAGGGCAGTTTTCAGAACAACAACGATGTGAGTGCCAGCAATAATAATAACAATAACAATAACAACTCCAACAAGACGGACGAGGAGGAGAAGGCCAAGTATCTGGACTGCACAGGCGATGAGGACACAGAGGCCATACATCATGGTGAGAAATTTCTGCAGTGGCTGGAGAACTGCAGCAATCCTCGGGTGACAGCCGTGCAGCTGATGCAGCTGAGATTTCTGATAGCGGCCATCAAGTCGGGCAACGAGATGCCGCCAATGGAGAAGCCCTGCTCCAGGAGTTTGCAGGAGGAGAGCGAGGATAACAAGGATAACAAGGATAACAAGGATAGCAAGGATAGCAAGGAGGAGGAGGAGGGCAGTGGCCGCGGCAAGAGTCGCCGTCGCAAATAGGAAAAGCCAAAGTTGGCGCCCATGGAGCCAGCCACGGATACAGAGGATTACCCAAGCAATGCGGCCAGGCAGGATATGGATGCGGATCCCTCCCACAGGATGCAGCATGTCTATGCCCCGGCAGTCTACAGATCGTCGGCCACCCTACTCAGCTCCCTGTTCTTCCCCCCCTACGAATTTGTACATTGTGACCTCGACGATGAGCCGGATGACGACTGCCAGATCACGGGCGAGTACCAGCAGTATGACGAACTGAGCTCCAGCTCCAGCTAGATCTTGCCTCCTGGATCTCCACTGAATTTATCTCCTAGCTGTGACAACACCTACTATCGAGCATACTTTCAGCCTCTCTTCCATTCAATTCAATTCAATTCTCAACTCAATTCTCAACTCAATTCCATTGTATTGTATTAATTAATCGTACGGCTAATGTGTATATATCGAGAATCTCTATTTGTAGCTATTATGCATTTCTTTTTCAAACGGAAAAACAAGCGATTTTGTTTTATTTCGGTTGTTTTATACCCAATGCATTCTAGACAAAATGTTATAGCCTTTGTTTTTTGTTACGACAACAAACCTTTTCGAACTGCAATGGTGTGCATTTGATATCAAACGTTTTTAAATTTCGTATATTATATTAATAACTATATGGAAATGTGCTCAAAAGAATTTTCTTAATTCGAAATTAATGCGATATTTAAATAAAGACATTTACAAATTTAAATGTAATTTTAAATACATGTTCAATAAAAAATAATTAGATAATTTTTATGAAACTCTTAGAACTGTTGTCCTTTTCATTAATCTCGGGGCATTTTTACAGGTTATATTTATTTAACTACTTTTGGGCTACAATTGTCAATCATGAAATTGTTAGCTTAAGCCAAACCGGACAAGATCATCAATCATTTCGTTTTGGTCAATTCAAATTTTTGTAAATTGGCAACAAAAAATAAAAGCGCAAAAATATCAGTTCCAATTTCGGTTTTATTTATAAAATAAATAGGAAAAAATGAAGTGAAATGAAAAGTTTAATGATTTCTTGTTGAAAAACGCGTTAAAAAATTATTATTTTGGAAATTCGGCAAAAAATTAGAAGCACCAAAAATCTGATTGAATAATGGCCAAACGCTGGATTATCATATCTCGTTAAACTCGTCATAAAGTTGTAACTCGATTGGCATTCACAGCTTAAAAATTTTGTTTTGAGTCCATTTTTGAAAAAAAAAATGATGTTAGAACTTATGATAAATGCGAAAATTGGAACAGTATTATAATATTTGAAATCGTCCGGAAAGTGATGAGGATCGTTAGAGAAGGTCTTAAGCCGTACAAAAAAGTCAGTCATACAGTTGTGAGTGGTATTTTAGCCAAATTACCGCTAAAAATCAATAACAAAATGTGAAATTTCAGCTCAAACTAAGCTGTCTGCAACAGTCAATATGTAGCATAAATAAAAGAATAATCACTTACCAAATTTATTGGATCATCTAGTGGTTCGTATTGAACAAAATCGGCGACAAACTTGGCAATTTCCTCAACGCTTGATATGAGTTCCGTGTGTATAAACGCCGTTGGTCTGATGGTGGTGCACACAAATTTCTGGAAGTTGGTTAAAAGGGGCAATTTATCATCAAACATTAAATTAATAGTAACATAACAAAGAAGGTGGTGAACACTTTACCTGAACTTTGCATTCGTTGGGCAAGGCCAAGACCATCGCTCTTTTTTTTGGGTAAGTGAGAACCAATTGCTTGCGGAAATTTTCGGCATAAAGAAGTAGCAATCGTTCCTTGGGCGATAATGTATAGTATGAGGGTGGATAGCACTGCGGACTGTTTTCGAACTCCTCGATAGTCTCCGGAAAGGATAAGTCGATCTTTCCGATATTCAGCGCCGGTTCACCTTCAGACAAACTAAATTCACTAGACTTCATTTCCTCCGTTTCCACCTCGTACTCCCCCTCCATTTCATCCACGAAATCCGATTCCGTAGCTTGCGAGCGCATAAATTCGTCGATTTCTTTGAATTTATCGGAGTGACGACTCGGGTCGATGTTACTGACCACCTTCTTGTACTTCTGGAATAATACCTTCGGCATTTTGGCGTAGTTAACTCGTTTGCCGGCTATTTACAATGATAAACAAGAAATAAGGTTTCTATAACTACGGTGTTTATAGAAAAATATATTTTTCAATATGAGCAGATGTGACAGAAATTGAAGTGTGTTTTTAGGTGAAATCAAAAATATACTGCAGAATGTCTCATTCATGACTAACAAACAACTAAGAATAAATTCGTCTCTAATAAATGTCTAATTGGAATCAGAAGGCGTGGTATCTTAAACGTGTTGTTAAATTAACTTAAAGAGTAATAAATATTAACAACAGTTTGTTTATTTTTAGTTTATTCAAGTCAAATGGAGACAGTTTTATATTAAATTATAAAAGGTTTATGATATAACACAATAACTGACCAACTAACATTTTTATACAATTTTTTATTCATTTTGTGTGATTAAAAGGAAACTTGCCTTAAAAATTTTCAATTTCCAACAAAGACATCCTGGGTTCGAGTCTTCGGAATAAAATCCAACAAGATTTTACATCTTTTCTTTGTAGATATTCGAGCCTTTTCATCGGCTAGTGCCATTGACAAATCGCCACCGTAACTGCTTTTGAACTGCTTTAACACCGAATGTAACTTCTGTACCCTGCTTTATTTTAAATTGCACTGCTTGTCGTTGAGTAATATTCTACATGTAAAATGTAAATGTAGACATGGACGCATAAGAGTTTTTGTTACGGAAAGTATGTTTAAAACTTAAACAATTAGATGTGTAATCAAAAATAAGTATACAAACTGGTTCTTACAATTAACATTTTTTATAATAAATCGTATTTTTAAGATGAAAACTTTAACAATTAGCTTTGTTTTTTATGAACAGTCTAAACAACATTAACAGGCCCCTGAAACTCATAATAGTTATATCATTGCACTCAGAATAATAGTAATCCGTATTTATTTCTTTGACACAAGCCCAGGAGGCACTTAAGAAAGTTTATGATTTGAAATATAATAAGGTGTGTTCAAATAAGGCAGTGATTACTAAATTATAAGAATTAAAATTTTATTTAATAATCGGCCGCTTTTGGAAAGTTATTAAGCACTTTAAGTCTAGGTTTTTATGATCTCCAAGAATTAAAGATATAATGCGTCAACATTGAGTTAAATGTTTTTAACCTGTTGTGTTTTCTTACCTTGTATTTTTTAATAAAATAGCAAACAGGGAAATTCAGTTTCTCTGTATAATGTATATATATTTTGATTCTGCTTTAGTTAAGTTTGAGAAAGTTCACAATATTTGGGTATCTTTACAACCGAATGAAAAATAAATGACGCTTACTCAGAATTTCTATTTGCATTAAGGATTACTATATATTTGAATTATCAATGTTACATAATTAGCCGTCTGACATTCGAGGCTAGGCCTTCCGCAGATGGCAGATTGGTGGCACATTTTTTAAGAACCAGGAACCACCCCCTTGTCTGCGTGCACCGCAAATTGCATTTGCATTATTTATATTGCATCAATAAAACCCGCATTCAGGAATAATTAGCGAAAAACTTGTCGAGCAGCGGAGTAGAGGAGCGGAGGAGAGGAGAGGAGAGACCAGCGGATTGAGATCGGCGCAGTTGATCCGTTTATGGCTGGCGCTAGGATTTATTTGTACTTCCTTTCGCATTTAAAAGGCGAGCGTCTACCTGAATCGAATGCTACATTCATGAAACCATTTGGCGCTTTTAAGCGACTCAATTACGCACTTTGATTCCCGATTCCCACATTTGTTGTCGCCTGTCGTTGGTTGACGCCTGTCCTGCTCAAACTGTTCCTCCTGTTCGTTCTGTTCGTCCTGCGGAAAGGACTCTCTACCTGAACTGAACGTCGTCTGAGGCAAGATGCGTAAGCACTAATTTTTGTGTGTGCTCGCTCAGTTGGCCGTTTAATTGCCGCGGCTCGCGCTAAGTGTTCCTTAGAAAAACAATGCGCGGCGTTCAATCAGGCACATGTCGTCCTGTCGCTTGACTCCTTGTCGAAACAGGAGGCGCCCCGGATGTCCTTTTGTCTGATTATCGGCCACGCAACGCCGATGCCGATGCTGATGCTAATGCTGATACGCTGCGGTTATGTCAATTAACGCGGTATAAGAGGCAGCTCGTCCCAGCAGAGGACATCACATTCGCTTTACACTCCGAAGGAAGCACATCACATCTCTAAACGGAAACATTCAACATGCAGTTGCTTAATATTATTATTCTGCTGCTGACCATTCAGCAAAGCTGCCTGGCATTGTACATCAAGAAAGTAGAGAAGAGTCCTGCCAAAGCTCCAGCCAAAGACGACTGGGGAGTCTTCAAGAACACACTGGGACTAAGCCAAGAAAAAGGTGTGTTACCTATACCAAAAGTGCCACTAAATCATTTACTTACTTTACCTATTTGTTATTTTCCTTTTAGTTGAACTTCTCAAATCGCAAAAGGACCAACAGGGCACCAAGGAGCTGCTCAATCGTTTTATTTTGGAAAATCCCAAAGCCTTACCGCAGGTCAAGAAGCAACCCGATCAGTTTTTGGCACTCTACCGATCCATTTTGAAGAAACTGACAGCTTCCAAGCGTATGCTGAAGACCTCTCTTAACTTCGAACTGGCCGACAATAGGCCCCATAAGACCCTGAAAAGACCACGTCGCAAGATCGCCGTGAAGATGGTCTCCGACATGCCATCCTGGAAAATCGAGAGCCTTTTGAACTCCTTCTATCTGAAGCACGGGATTCCGAGGAACACCGAGGAGCATGACTATCCCGATTTGGATATGCCCCGGGACACCGACTACGACTCTGACAATTTCTATGACGACGAAGGCGATGTCGGACTGACTGCCAAGACCAGGCAAAATACCGAATACGGATCCTTTCAGGATCTGATTATGCAGGCCAAGATGAACGAGTGGGAGCGGGAGGAGGAGGAAACCAAATTGCACGGCTCAGACAATGATGACTTCATTTAAATTGAAACATCCATTGAGTTATCCTCAAGTAACTGATAGTGGGCTGTGCAATAGGAGGTTCAAATGCTGGCATTGGACTTAACATTAGTTTAAAGTAGTTCATTATGCCAAACAATATTGAGCAACAATTGAACCTATATTTATTAAAACAACATAGCTTTAGAATTTTTTTTTCAAAATTGAAATAATTAATAAAGTAATTAAGAAGTTGAAATATGAATAACAACATTTTTATTTTATTGGTATGGAATTTTGGTGGTCTAAAATTTAGGAATTCGGAGTCCTTAATAATTTTGAACAAACTTTTTAATTTTCAATATCTGCGCATGTCCTCTCTACATAGAAAGCTTTTTCTTAAAGAGCAATGCCAAATAGAGTTTGTTATTATTAAATGCTCATCTTATATATGGTTTTTCTTTAGACAAATAATAACATAACATTGTATTACTGTTTTTGTAATGTTTTATAGTAATATTCCGGTTTACATCTTACTGTAGGTTTCCGATTATATAAAACAGCTGATTGTTATGTTCTGTGCTCTCCTTTCATTTCCTTTTCTCTCTTGCAGCATGACAACAAATAACGCTATTATAAGCAGACATATGGTTTACACAATGGTCTATTATATGGTGCCAACAACATAAACACGTGCTCCACAAGAGCACACTCATGCGCCCTGTTGTGCCATGAAATTGTGAATCCTTGGAAGATATAAAAGCCAAGCTCATTTGAAACCACAATTAGTCTGTTGCTGTTCTCAGTCGGTTATAAATAAGAACTTCATTAAATAGTATTAGTTGTTGGTAATTTCAGTTTACGTAGTCAGTTTTGCAGAGCCCATAAATTCTTATTTACTGGCTCAGTCTTAACAGCCAACCTAAAATAACCCTTTAATCCGCTCTTTCTGCTCAGCCCACTTGTTGCCTTATAACTACACAAATATATGAAGATTAATCTGAAAAGATTAGCGAAATAAGTTTAAGGGAATTGGGTCTTTTAAACATAATTCCCAATGGAACAAACTAGTTCCTTGCCGCAGTGTGCCTAAATCGATAGATATTTTTTAATACGAGTATGCAAAATTTTAGAATGCACATCACGTCCTAAGTCTTTTAGGTATCAGCCTCGCCAGCTTTTGACGCCATTGGCATCATTTATGCACGTACTCTGTTTGCCAAAGCTGCAAACTTTCCTACGGCAATAAGTCAGTCACAGCCTTCCATCACAGTTAACGTAAATAAAAGATTTTCATTTAAGTTTGAGTTATGTTCAAGCATTAAACTACACAAAGAAGAGTTCTTAAGCAGGTGCCATAAATACAAGATATTTGTTATTTTAATTTAGTGTGATTTTAACATTTTTTTATCCTTAAGGTATATTAAATTCATAGAGTTTGGAAAATAAATAAAACTGTATTTATATTAAAATTAAAGTTTATTTGTAATTTAACAATAATATAATTTATTTTTATAACTCTTTACTTGGTTGATAAATTAAAATACATAATACAAAATCAAATAAATAAAATGTGAACACAAATATACATACAGGCGCAATTATCTTACAATTTAAGAGGAATTACAATTCTTGCCATCGAAGAATCTTGAGTTCAGTATATTTGATGCTCGAAGATAATGCTAAACAATTTGGTATTTAGACTTGTCAGTAATCCAGAAGGATACAGTTTGTTTTACACTTTTTCTCGAGCACAATTCGTAATGGCAGTGCAACCTTTTTCCAATTCAAGTAAGAACATTATCTTACTGGGCCAAGACTGGAAAGTGATATCCCATAGTCTTTTGGAGGTAATAAAGCTCTTGGGGTTTCAGTGCTTACAGCTTTCTACAACTTCTCACCACTAAGACTAACGATATTGTAATAGTTGTGATCGGGAAACCGCTCCAGTTCAATGTAATCCATTTCGGTGTGCAGCAGTTTGTCGAGCATCTGAATTATCTCAGCAAAAAGCGGACGCTCCTGGGGATCGTGTGACCAGCAATAATACATAATATTGTAGAGCTCCCGACGACAGTGCTCTGGTTTCTCCAAACGATAACCATCCCTTACCTTTGACAAAAAGTGCAGAAAATGTATTTATTTGATTAATTACAAAATTAAAGGAAATACCAACCTTCCGCATAACATCAGCTGCTGATATTCCGGGGTAAGGCGTTGAACCCAGAGTCACAATTTCCCACATCAGTATGCCGAAGCTCCAGATATCCGATTTTACAGAGAATATGTTGTCGTATAGCGACTCAGTAGCCATCCATCTGAAAATTAAAGCATAAATTTAAGTTTATTGGCTTGTATTTGGTTTAACCAATAGACATTACCTTATTGGCAGCTTGCCCTCGCTTTTCCTCTCATAAATCTTCGATGTGATTACGTCTCTTGCAAACCCGAAATCCGCGACTTTGCATGTGTGATCATCGGTTATAAGAATATTGCGAGCAGCCAAGTCTCGATGGATAATCTGTAATAAAATAATAATGACAAATATAAGTATTTAAAGTAGAAGCAATTTATTTTCTAATTCCTTAAAAAAAGTGTTTTATAAAAAAAATATTTATCTTTGTATTTTTTGTAAATCAACTTACCCCCCGCGATGTTAGGTAGTCCATTCCCTTAGCTACTTGATACATGAACGAAGTTAAATCGCAGGAAGTAAGGACATTTGATTTCCCGTGTGTGTTTCCATAGTGTCTATTAGCAAAATATTTTGATTAGATCTTTGTTCGAAGTTACGCTTTATTATGTTGCCTACCTTTCGGCGCGAGAGCTGCGTAGGTACGTTTGCAATTTTCCTCGATTTACGTATTCGAGAATTACAAAAGTGGGATCTTTATCCGTGCAACAGCCCAACAAATGAACCACATTTATGTGCGGCTCCAGAGATTTCATTACCTGTAAGCAGGTAAAATAAATTGGTCAATAAATGTGTTAATTAGACTTTGAAATTATTTAAGGGGGATATAATCTCATTAATTTAACTACAATATAATTTTTTATCACCATTCCTAGTGAGATTTTTGAACTTAATGAATTTGTATATTTTATATATTATTATTATTTGTTTATTTCATTACCTATAAGCTAGTTTATTTATATTTTTCACAAGTGAAATTATCTCATTAATTGAACTGCAATAATATTTTTAATAATTTTTCCTAATGAGAATTTTGTACTTATTTATAAACAATTATGGAATCACCTATAAACAAAAATATTATTATCTTTTGACTTATGAGAGAGAGTATATATCACATTTAAATAAAATCATTTGTGTGTGTATTATTATTAAGCTTTTCTATTGATTTACGATTAATATTATCCAACTTATTTAACTACCATGACATTTTTGATTACCACTCCTAATGAGTATTTGCACTAAGTCAATTTGTATCTTAAGAAGCTTGTGTATTATTTATTGGGCCATCTGATTTACAAAAGTGACCGCAATTAATTTAAGTTAATAACTTGGTCCTGCCCAAAAGTCCTCTCCCCCACCCTCATACTTTAAATACAAAGTTTGAGCAACTAAGGCCATTTCTGAGTACGCAACAGAGCCTGGTAATTTTGCAGGTCTCGAACGCCTTCACAATGGCAAAATGCGGTGGCAACTTGAGGAATGAGTCTGAAGCATAGCAATGGCCGAGGGCCATTCATAATTTTTCATTGTTCCAAAATTAAAGTGCAATTATTCTCGTTTCTAGGGTAATCCGCAGAACATGATATACTGCCGCCGCACAACGTTTGCCGGTGTATGGTTTGTTTTGCCGCCTGCAGCAGCAGCAAATGCGACTTTAATGATGAAGGACGCCTTCCGACTGAGGGCAACCCTAGAGTGGCCCTTTTAGATCCCATTTTCGTAGTCGGTAGAGTCAGATTCAGATTCAGATGGCAGAGGGCAAGGTTAGGCCACTATAGGTCTCGAACTCCGAAAAAGCTAGTGCGCAGGATTCAGAGAGGTCCTCCAGGCGAGAGGATGCTGCGGTTTGTCAGTCAATTCGGTTTCTTCTATTTTTTTTGGAGGCAGGAACAGCAACAGGAATCAGTTTGTTTCAAGGCGTCGGTGTGTGCGGTTGGGAAAGTTTCTATACCATATATTTCCTGCAAGATATACACGTTTTTTCTCGTGTTTTTGCAACAAGGCTGCGGGAGGTTCGTGTTTACAGCCCGCAACTGCTGTCAAAAAGAGTTCCTGGCCATGATGAGATGTTGTGTTGTGCTAGTGCGAGTGCCAGTGTGTGTTTGTGTGTGCTTTGAATAAATGCTCCTCAGTGCCCCCAAATGCTGAACTCATTAGCTAGCCATCGAATTTTCTACCCCGGCAAAGGCATAGGTAATAATGCACCCCACGTATATAGTAGAGTATGTAAATGCCAATCGATATGAAAATGGCACTATCATTACGGGATTACTTTGGGGGGTGGAAGGGGTGTAAATCCAAATAGCTCTTGGCCAAAGTGCCTTTCGTCCTTGTGCTAAATAAATACATTGTCACTTCAATTGTCATGGCAACACACTCCTTTGATTGCCTTTCATTGCCAGCATACAAATGTTGAGCCCATTAAAGGACCATAAATGCCTACGGAACAAAGGACCACTACCACTACAAACGAATTTATTGATTCGCCACGAAATGAAAATATTTTTAGACCACTGATTACAGCCACTTTGATTTACACAGCTCCACCTTTGATCCTTGAAACATATAGGTTTAAAGTCTGTCCTGGACTGGATTTTTCGGAGTTCTCGCCCATGTAAGCTGGCAAAGATTCGGCTCATTAAATATGCACGTCTGACACCGGGATGCTTACAAGGGCATAAATTAATAATTTTGTCGCAGTACTTTTGGCGAACATAAATATGCAATAGGACCCGACCATATTGGAATTGGCATTTAACCTACATCGTTTCAATGAGCGAAATGGGCAAATTGCATTCAAAATAGTTTTCCTTTAAATTTCATTTAGGTAAAAGCTTTTTCTTTAATA